TATGGTCAATTTTGGAGAATGTTCCATGGGGTGATGAGAAGAATGTACATTCTTTATCTTTGGGATGGAGTTCTCTATATGCATCTAACAAGCACAGTTGCTCTAGGGTCTCATTTAAGTCCCTTATAACTTTGTTTAATTTCTGTTTAGGAGATCTGTCCAGCTCTGTAAGAGAAGTATTAAAGTTCCCTGTTATTATGGTATTATAGGATATCATACTGCTCAGACTGAGTAATGTCTATTTCAAGAATCTGGGAGCTTTTAAATTGGGTGCATAAATATTTAAAATTGAAATGTCTTCTTGTTGTATTTTCCCCTTGCCCAATATAAAGTGATCATTTTTGTCTTTTTTGACTTTAGTTGCTTTAAATCCACATGTATCTAAAAATAAGATTTCAACTTCTCTTTTCTTCTGAATTCCATTTGCCTGAAAAATTGTCTTCCAACCCTTAACTTGGAGTTTTAATTTGTCTTTTGAAGCTAGGTGTGTTTCCTGCAGACAGCAAATGGATGGCTTGTGTTTTTTAATCCAGTCAGCCAATCTATGCCTCTTCAGTGGGGAATTCAAGCCATTAACATTTATTGAGATAATTGATAAGTGTGGTAGTGTTCTATTCATCTTATTTTGTGAGAGTCCATGGCTTAGATTTGTCTTTCGCATCATTGTGGAAAAAATGATATTTTGCTGTTGATCCATCTACATTAGTGTATAGAACAGTTTGAAGTATTTCCTGTAAAGCTGGTCTTGTCATGGAGAATTTCCTCAATGTTTGTATATCAGTAAAAGATTTGATTTCTCCATCAATTTTAAAGCTTAGCATAGTAGGATATAGAATTCTGGGCTGATTCTGTTTAAGTAGATTAAAGGTAGATGACCACTGTCTTCTGGCTTGAAAAGTTTCATTAGAGAAATCTGTGGTCACCCTAATGGATTTGCCCCCGTAGTTCAATTGGCACTTACTCCTGGCAGCTTGCAAAATCTTTTCTTTTGTCTTGACTTTGGACAGGTTCATCACAATGTGTCTTGGAAAAGCTCAGGTAGAGTTGAGGCAACCTGGGGTCTGATATCCCTCTGAAAGGAGTGTGTCAGAATCTTTGGTGATATTTGGGAAATTTTCATTTGTAATATTCTCTAGTATGGCTTCCATTCCCCTGGGGCATTCTTCTTCTCCTTCTGGGATACCTATAACTCATATGTTTGAACACTTCATGAAGTCCTATAATTCTGTGAACATTCTGCTTTCTTCTCTTCTTTTCTGCCTCTTTAACTATCTGAGTTATCTCAAGAGCTTTGTCCTCTATCTCCGAGATTATTTCTTCTGCATGGTCTAATCTGTTGTTGATACTTTCTAGTGCATCTTTAAGTTCCTTAATTGACTGCTTCAGTTCCTTCAGCTCTGCTATATCCTTTCTACATTCTTCATATTGTTCATCTCTTATTTGATTCTGTTTTTAGATTTCCTTTTGTTTATTTTCCACTTTATCTGCAATTTCCTTCATTGTTTTCATCTTCTGTGTTCTAAATTCCCTTTCTGTCATTTCTAACATTTCTTTATAGGTGGAATCCTCTAAAGATCACCTTTATAGGTGATCTTCTGGGGTATGAGATGTTAATCACAATGCTGATACAGCTGTATGAGATGGCGATTGGAGGCCTCTGCTGATTTCTCAAACCAGGCAGGGTGGAGAACCTAATTCTCACCTCAGCCCACTTAAAAGACACTTTAAACTGCCGACCTGGGCTAAGCAGAAGCTTTCCTAGGAAAGCACTTGTTCACTCCTAAAATGGCTATCCACTTACCCAGTGTGCCAAACCGATCTCACACTATGCCCCTGAGGGCCAAGGCTGTAAGGTGTCTCAGTCCCTGCCTTTAGGCTGCTCAGTCACTAGATGACTCGCTCTGGCCTGATCCTTGCTCTGCGACCCTGAGGGTGGAGCTTGCCCAGGCAGGTATCCCTCAGTGTCTCCACACAGCCCACAGCCAAACACTATTAGCTCCGTCTGGCTCAGTAGCTCAGTCTGGGGCCCTAATACTTAAAGTCCTCCACTCTCTTGCCCAAGTTCTCCCAAGGTAGTTCAACTGTGTGACAAGTCCTAAAAAGAAAAACCCAAACAACTCACAGGTAAGGCCTTTCCAGTTTGCAATCTCGCTGCTGCTGTACTTATAGCTGTTGGCAGGATTAGACCGAATGAACACATGCAAACACTTGCCAGTTCTCCACTGCTTTTGTCCTCCTTATGGTGTCCAGAAGTCCCTCACTGACTCCCTGTGTCTCCAAAGTGGTGTTTCTGGGCAGATCCCACCAGCCAGAGATGCCTGAAGTCTCTTCTCCCCAGACTCACCATGCCCAGTTGCAGGGAAGCTGTTACTCGGTTGCCATCCCCCTCCAGCAGAATTTTCTAATCTCCAGACCTTTATACGCAGTGCCAGATGTTCCAACATGGCTAAGATCAAAGTCATTATCTCCTTTCCAGATCCTCTGCCCATGTTCTTTCTCTCTCTCTCTCTCAGATTGGTGCCACTTCTACTCCCTTACAAGCTAAACAAGCCAGAAAACCCAGGCTTCATTCTAACACTTCCTTCTTTTCTAACCCTCATAACAAATCTCGTATCTCAACCCTACTGATTTTATAACCAAAATATCCCTTGACCATATTTCTCTTTCTATTGCTCTTGTCCTAGATCAAGAGACCATCATCTCCCACCACCTGTTGCATATAACAGCCACACAGCTGGTCTATTCCTTTAACTTTTGTCTTTTGAAGAGTAATGGTTCCAGAATTCAGATCTGATGATTACTTCCATCTTCCCCTCTAAAAGCCCTTTTAATGACTTCCTATTTTTAGGATAAAGACTCAGCTCCTTTAATGAGATCCCAAGGCTGTTTCACAGTCTGAGCTCATTGATCTCCCCTCCCTCTCTGGGTTCTAGACCTCAAGCTGTCCAATATGGCAGCCACTAGTCATGTGTGCCTATTTAAATTTAAACCAATTAAATTACAGTTTGAGTTCTTCAGTCACGCTAGTCACATTTCAAGTGCTCCACAGTCACATTTGGCTAATGGCTGTTGTGTTGGGCAGCACAGATTTACTGAGCATTCCCATCATCATAGAAAGTTCTACTGAATGGTGCTGCTCTAGACAAGTGCTCTGAGCACATGTCTGGAATATACCTTACACCCTCCCCGCACAAGGCCAAATCTTTGCAATAGCCATGTTACTAAAAGATCTGGCTGAGAGAGGTTAGGTTACTTGCCCAGGGCAGGTAGGTAGGCAGAGTGATGCCTAGATCTACTTGACTTTCAGAGAAACTTCTGAGCCACTATGCTTTTTCTTGGGCCCATGGTAGTCATTGAAAAGTTTTAAGCTGAACCACAAAATAATTTGTGATTTTTTGAGTGCAATAGCAGAGTCCAGAAATAGATCCAAATACATATGAAATTTGGTACATGGGAAAGATAATATTTTAAATCAGTGGGGAAAATATGTATGGTTGGTGTTGGGACAGTTGAGCAGCCATTTGGAAAATAAAGCTTACACACCACAACTTACACCAAATTAAATCCCCTATTGATCCCTGATTTTAAAATATCATCCCTAAAGAAGGATGGAGACTTTTCCTCCTTCATGTTTACATGGATGGAGCTGGAAAATATTCTTCTCAGCAAAGTATCTCAAGAATGGAAGAAAAAGTATCCAATGTACACTGCCCTACTATGAAACTAATTTATAGCTTTCATAGGAAAGCTATAATCCAATTATAACCCAAGAAGATGGGGAAAGGGGAGAGGGAGGGGAAGGGGGAGGATGGGTGGAGGGAGGGTGATTGGTGGGATCACGTCTATGGTTTATCTTTTAACGGTACATATGACTCTTTCTAAATGAAGAACATAAATGTCTTAACACAATAACTAAGAAAATGACATGAAGGCTATGTTAACCAGTTTGATACAAATATTTCAGATTGTATATAAAAATAGCATACTGTACCCCATGACCGTATCAATGTACACAGCCATGATCTAATAAAAAAGAAAAGAAATAAAGTAAATTCTTCTACAAGAAATTTATCTCATAATTTCTTATTCAAGAATTTACAGCTAACTAGCTGCAGAGCTCTTATAGAAGAGGTTTCTTATAGTAGAATTATTTTCTTTTATCACAAGCCAGTATTGATAAATTATCTTTTTGTATACAACCATGTATTGTATAACAACCTTTTTGTCAATAATGGACGCCACATATGACACTGGCATCAAAAGATTACATTAGAACTGAAAACTTTTTGTGCCCTAGTAATGCATAGCCATTGTAATGTCATAGTGCAGCACATTACACATGTTTTTGGTGATACTGATATGAAAATACCCACTGGCTGTCAATCACATACAGATATAGTATATAACAATTAGGTATAGTACAGAAAAACTGATAATAATAAAAAACAACTATGCTACTGAAAAAAAATATATAACATAGAAAGGCTAGAGGATTCCCTGGGAGATTTTATGTCCAAAGCCTAAAATAAGGATGCTCCCATACAAATCAAGACAGAAACTTTAGGATCCATGAAAAGAAAATACTATTCATTTGGACCACATAAAAACATTAAAGGTAGTATAAAGTCTGTCACAAAATCAAAACCCAAAGGACAAACATAGACAACTCAACTGAGAGAGATTCAGTCTGTTTTAATGAGTCAAAGCAGGTTCTCTGGAGTCAGGCTGCCCTGATTTGCATCTTGCCTCCACTTCGTGCTCGTGGAGCACCCTTGGGCTAGTTACTTCTCTTCTCTGTGTCAATTTCCTCCTTGTAACATGGGGAGAAATGATAGTACATAGCTCAATGAGATGTTATGAAGATTAAATAAATCAGTGCATATAACATGCTTAGAACTGTGGCTGGCCTGGTGTGAGTTCTCTAATAAGTAGTATTAGACTATTGTCATGACCAGCAAAGACTTTAGACTTTATCCAGAGGACAACTGGGGCAAAAAGTGTTTAGGCAAGAAAATAATGATGTAATCAGATTTGTGTACTAAGAATATCACTCTAACTAAAGAAAATTAGAAGTTCAGCAGGAGAGCATTGCAGGTGAGAGGTTTGGCCTAGGGTGGGGTTGGTAGAGATGATGCAGAGATGGAACAGAAACTGACAGCTCCTTTCTTCTTTACCTATGGACTTTGAACCTGAGCTACAGAAAACGATATCATTCCCTGTGTTAGTCCAGGTCCTTCTGAGAAGCAGTTACCCAGCAGGATTAGACTACAAACTATTAGGGAGAATGCCTCTAAAGGAAAAGAGAGAGCTGGAGAGACTGGGAGAGCCATTGGACCCTTTGGGAAGAAGGAGGGTTGAGTGGAAGAATCTTGGACTGCCATAGAGTCCTAAGAAATTTCTCCAAAGTCACCTATCAGGGAAGTTCCAAATCTCCCAGGAACAGGCTTCTTTAATATCTCTGCTGCCCTCAATTATTGGTTAGGAGTAGAGTATAAGAAGCACAAATGTTTTGATAGATTTCAGAGTGACAGCTGGGGCTGTCAGTCAGTTACACTCCCTGTCTGTGGAAATGTTCACAGCTGCTACATAGCCGGATTCTCCCCACAGTCTAACCTGCCCAGCCATTCATAGTTATTAAGTATGTAGATTATGGACTACACCTGCCGTCATCCCTCTCTTGGTATTTTCCTTTCATCCAAGGGGAAAATGTGCTATTTGTATTTATTAAGCACCTATGTTGTGGAAGCTAATGTCCTCTAATATTTTTCTTCTTTTGTCTAAGGGAAAACTTGTGAACCGCCAAGAGCTTATTAATGATGATACCAACAAGCAAAACCTCCTTCAAGTCATAAAACAGCACCTCACTGACTTTGTGCTTGAATACAACACTGAGGTGAGTGAGCAAAGGTTTATCCAGAAAAGGGGTTGCTGGGGTGGCTGTGTGAGCTTGGGATGACATTTTCCTTGTAATTTCAGAATAAAGATCTGATTTACGAATTGCAAATCCTGAATCACATGCTGCTCTTTGTCTCCAAAAGCTCTGAGTCATATGGTACCATAATTCAGCATTATAAGCTGGCATCAAAGGAATTCCAGAACAAGGTTAGTAGAACGTGCTGTTGCTCTTGGCTCTTAGATGGGCATCCAACACTTGCAGAACCTGAGGCTATTTATCAGCCCTGCTTATCATAGATGGAGTCAGGAAAGATTTGCATATACCTTTACATTCCAATTTTCCTGATTTGCATATCTGTACTACATATTATTTACTATTTAATTTAATTTTTATTTTGGAGGCAGAGTCTCACTTTGTCTCACTCTACTCACTTTTGTGGGTAGAGTGCCATGGCATCATAGCTCACAGCAACCTCTTTCTCTTGCCTCAGCTTCCCAAGTAGCTATGACTACAAGTGCCCACCACAATGCCCAGCTAGTTTTTTTCTATTTCTTTTTTTTTTTTTTTTTTTGCAGTTTTTGGCCAGGGCCGGGTTTGAACCTGCCACCTCCAGTATATGGGGCTGGCACTACCCCTTTCAGCCACAGGAGCCACCCTAGTTTTTTATTTATTTATTTATTTTTAGTAGAAACAGAGTCTGGCTCTTTCTCAGTCTGGTCTCAGACTCCTGAGCTTAAACAATACACCTGCCTCAGCCTCCCAGAATGCTAGGACTACAGGAATGAGCCACCCTGCCCAGCCTACCATTTAATTTCAAATGAGCCTCCTCCATTCCCCCGGAACTGTGTTTCAACCCTCTTCCTCTGCCTATTGCCTTAGAGGAGTTTCTTAAACCTTTAGCCTCTGTCTCCAGTGTGTGAAATGGAAACTTATAGTAAGAATTAGACAATCCATACATAAAGCAATGAACAAAAGTACAATGAATGATGTTTATTATTATTGTCACCATTATCATCATTAGAAACAAATCAGTTTTCCCCATTCACTATACCTATATTTAGTCTTCTCTTAATCACCCTATGTAATCCTCACATCTGGGCAATTCCTCTCTATCACAAGGAATAGAGAGGAATTTTGTTTTCTGATTGGCGCTCATTGCCTGAATTTATAAGTTCATTTACCCATTTGTTTTCTATCTTCTCCACTAGAACCTAAGCTCCTCCAGGGCGGTGGATTTTATCTGCTTTGGGCAGTGCCGTATATCCAGCACTTGGTAAAATGCCTTGCACATAATAAGAACTCTGAATATTTGACGAATGAGTGAATGAAACCATGGGTTTCCTTGATAGAATAATCTTGAATAATGATGAGTTAACATTTTCTACCTGTGAGTCAATAAAGAAAGTCTTTACATAGATTTTCCTACTTACTTACCTCACAGTAACCCCGTGAAGTAGGTACTCTTATAATCACCATTTTACAGATAAGGAAACTGTGGCACAGAACCAGGATGGAAGCTCAGGACCTCTGGCTTCCTAAAGCTGTGCGTATGGTGTATGATACCAGGACGCTGAAACCAGGTTGGCGGCTGCTGCCTGCTGTGCATTTGTGGGCAGGGCTGCACCTGCCCAGAGAAAGGGCTCCGTTATTAAGTCTGTCAGAGGTGCACCACAGATCCCACTATTTGCATTCCTTTAGTCCACAGCTTTCCAGGAGTTTCTCTTCCTTAATGAAGGTCCCAGAGAGATGACATTTTCATTTCATTTGGCAGATCCTTTTCATCCTAGTGGATGCAGATGAACCCAGAAACAGACGTGTCTTTGAGTACTTCCGGATCACGGAGGTCAACGTCCCATCTGTCCAAATCCTAAACCTGACCTCCGACGCCAGGTACAAAATGCCTTCAGATGAAATAACCTTCAGAAACCTCAAGAGGTTCGGCCTCAACTTCCTGAGTAGAAATGCTAAGGTAAGGTTGTTCTTGGACAAGATTTAACTAGAACCTCAAAATCATCCCTTTCTTGTAATTCTGTTGGCTTTGCTCATTGTGGGGAAATCCCCCCACCTCCCCCACCTTGAATCTATCCAACTTTTGACTTATCACCTGAACCTGTAATTTCACCATTATTTTTTTTTCATTGTAATGTAGAGGCATTTCCTTTGCAGGAATTTCCAATAAAAATGCAGATATTCGGGAGGGCTACCTTAGCCTTGATAAGAACACTTTTGGTGGGTAGCACCTGTGACTTAAGGAGTAGGGTGCGGGCCCCATATACCAGGGGTGGCAGGTTCAAGGCTGGCCCCAGCCAAAACTACAAAAAAAAAAAAAAGAAAGAAAAGAAAAGAAAAGGGCACTTTTGTTGTCCTATCAGCTTCAGGGTTTCAAGGTTGAAGATTTACTTAGCCCAAGGGTAGATGGTTGCTTGGGGGACCAGAAAGGGGTAGAACACAGAGATCCATCAGGGTTCAGCCTCAGAGGTTTTAGGGACCTCTTGGCTGGATGGGATTGTTTAGAGGGGGGACTATTTTGCTAACAGGGAGAAGAAGCTGCAGAAAAGCAGCCATAAATATAACCCAGCCTCACACACTGCTTATTTAGCACTTGCTGTATCCTCAACTATCCTGCTGGTAAGATGACCATGTTAATTAGTTTCCAAACTGGGATACTTTTGAGAATGAAAGGGGCATTGTTTAAAAACATTCTGGAACAACAAGAGTAACTGAGACTCTCCAGGCAAGCCAAAATCTGTAGTCCCTTGACCTCCCAGGGCTTCCTCTACCTCCATCTGTTTCCCCGAGACATGGCTTTCCCCAGGCCCTTCTGGAGTGGACGCTGTTTGTCTGGTGTGCACATTGTCATGGGGTGGGCAGTGAAGTGGCTTTTCTTCTTGCCACTTCTCAGCCATTTCTCCTCCTTGCACCTTCAAAAACCCCAATTCCTTGTATTTTGCATTTGTGGACTTTAGACTGTGTGCTCCCACCCCTTGATCATTGTCCCCTTCCCACTTTCCTTCAATCTGAAGACTGAAGCTCCTGATGGCAGACTTGCCCCCTATCCCACTCTGCCATCATTCCCCAAGATGCCAATATCTGAAACCCCATTCTCTCTTCTCCATTAGTGGTGTGTTCCTGGCATCTCAGCCACTTACTGTCACAGCCACACCCAAGGATAATAACCCCTCTGATTTCCTTTCTCCAGTATCCACACTGCTTTAATTCTTCAAACTTCTCATGGCCTCCCATCTCTTGGTCCCATGGCACGATCACTTAGTGCTCCTGTTCTTGAACTTGCATTCCACAATTTGCTGCTCTTGTGATGATTCCCTTAACTCCTTTATCCCCTCTACCCACCACCTCCTGTACACCCTGCAGTACTCACCAGGTTGAACCCACTTAACGTCCCTACTGCTTCCAGACCAGAGCTGGAGAAAAGCAACATCACCCCAAGGGTGCTGGCTTCACGACATCACAAACCAAACCTCCATGGACTCTCAGAAATGTCCTGGCATCTCTGCATAAGTATCTCTTCCTGTGCTCATTTTCTTAATCTCAGAGTCTATTTCTCCTTATACTCATTCCTACTGTCACTCTCAGCTGAGTACTCTGTCTTCTATTTTCACCAAGAAAATAGACATCTTCCTGCTGGGACCTCCTCCTCCAACAGAAATGAGCCTACCTTACATGATCTATGGGGTGTCCCTGATCTGGCCCATTTCTAACTCTCCATTGTTTCACCACATCCCATCTCCCATGCCCAGCCCCCACCCTCTTTACACTTCCACTGAAAGAATTGTTAAGCCCTTTCCAGAGCCTGGAGTTGCAGAGAGAAAGGGCACTGTGGGAGCAAAATGCAGGCGAGCTGGGCAGAGACCACACATCAGGCACCTCACAGACAGATGAAGGATTTAGTATTCTATGGGCAATGGTGAGCCACGTTTGCATGGTGAAAATAGAACCCTGATTGTAGAGAATTGTGATGTAGAGAAGATTGGGAGCAAATGTAGGGAGAACTACATGTGGGAGGCTATTCCAAGGATCCAGATGAGCAATGCAGGCTCCCTGGATAGGGCAGTGACAGCACAGATGAAAAGACATGTGTGGATTCAAGAGATGCTCAGGATGCAATGGTTTTAGAAAAAAATATGATTTGACATTTCCAACACTTTCTTCAAAGAGACGCAAGAGCTGAGATCCTTCTTTCATTCATTCATATGCAAAAACATCTATTCAGTTTCTATTATGTACCAGGCAGTGGATACTCAATGATGAGAGAAGAAAAGTCCATTCTGCTGTTCCATCTAGTATGATAGACACATTAATCAAATAACCAGAAAAATAAACATAAATGATGAACTTGAATAAGTAATACAAGGAAAAGTATTGGGTGTTATGAGAATTTATGGTAGCAGGACTTTCTAGCCTGGGAGAAGTCAAGGAGACCTTCCCTGGAAGTCATTCTGAAGGATAAGAATGAAGAAGGGAGGGCAGGAGTCATGAATGGAGAAAGCCGTCCAGGCAGAGGGAATGGCATAATAAACAAAGGGTCCAGGTGGAAAGAAGATCAGCCATTTAGGTAAACCAAAGGCCAGGATAACTCAAGAAAAAAAAGGGTAGAATGAAGTCTGGAGAGGCTGGTAGGAACTAAAATGTGGCCAAGATCTTATAGATCACATAAAAGATCTTGGTCTTGATTCTCAGAGTAATTAGGGTCAGCTAATTTTTTTTTTTTAATGTGGACTAGTTAAGATGGAAAAATTCTCCACCCTCGTTCAAGAATCCCCCAAATCATGTATTATAATGCTAGAATCCATCCCAGTTTGGACCGCTGTCTTCTCCCTGGCCCTCCAAAACTGATTTGTCGGGGACAATCCAGGGGTGACAACAAGTTCATGATCTATCTCAGCATTTCAAAGTCTTTCCCAAGGCTCTTGTGGAAAAAAAAAGAAAACTCTTAGTTGTTTTCAATCAAGGTAGGAAACCCCAATTCTGAACTTCTTTCTGGAGGCTGTTAGATCTCTTAAATTTGCTTCCTAGAAACATCAATCCAGTGAAGATATTCCAAAATATTGGGACCAGGGACTGGTGAAGCAGCTCGTGGGGAAGAACTTCAACATAGTGGTCTTTGACAAGGAAAAGGATGTATTTGTGATGTTTTGTAAGTATCTCCCCAGAGGGGATGGGACCCAATGGGTCCCAACATTACTTTTCAAGTGTTGCTCCTGAATTCCTGGGCACTGAAATCTCTAAAACCCATTGATGCACCATGCCAAGGGTAATCTTCAGATACCCAAAAGGCTGGATCAAGACAATATCAATGACAATGTAACTCCATCCTCCGAAATCTAATTCTTGAAATGTTGCATGAGATGCCTTCCATATAATCCAGGCCTTTGGCTCTTTCTAACAGTATAGCTGATGGCTAACACTGTCTGATTAGGTCTACAGGGTAAGTTAGGTCTTACAATGAGCCACTGAATTCATTATCTCACTTAAACCTTGCAACATCTTTTGTTAAGCAGGAAGTAGCATTGCTCCCACTTTACAGATGACTAAATGAAGTCTCAGGGAGGTTGAAAGAATTCTTCATTATCATGCAGCCAGTGAGTGCTGGAACTAAGATTTGAATCTAGGCAGTCTGGCTCTTGCACTTACACTCATTGGTATAGGTACAGAATTCCTTTGTTTCTGGCTTTTTTTTTTTTTTTTTTTGATTACATAAAAACTTTGTGTGGTAGGGCAGCACCTGTGGCTCAAAGGAGTGGAGTGCCGGCCCCATATGCTGGAGGTGGCAGGTTCAAACCCAGCCCCAGCCAAAAACTGCAAAAACAAACAAACAAAAAAAACTTTGTGTGGTAAAAATGGCATATAATCAAGATAAAAAGACTAAAGGCATATTTTTAAAGTACATATTATGAACAAAAGATTAATATTTTTAATCATTGAGAAGCACTTACAATAATAAGTAAGTATAATAATAAGATGTATATACCAGAACAAAAGTAGAAATAAGATAGAATAGTTACATCACAAATGTACAAGTAATGATAGGCCATAAACATGGTAAAGCTCGTCAGTAATCAAATTCTTGAAATGTAAAGGACAATTAAGTACCACTTCCCACCTATAAGAATGTCAAAGATCTTAAAAATAATATTAACACTCAATATAGGAAAAGCTTGAGAGCAAAATGACTATAACCTTTTGTGGAGGAAAGTTTGGAAGTAAGATAGTATATTTTAGTATTAAGACAAAAGTTTTTAAATTATGCAGACGAACTGATCAAGCATTTTCATTTCTTAAGGAAATAAAGTGTCAAGTGTGAAAAGATGTATTACAACATTCATTGTAGAAAATTTGAAACTACCTAAATGTTAACCAACATGGGATTGATCAAATAAATTATGGAACATCCATAAAATAAAATACACATTTTAAAGATAGCCATTAAGAACTAGGGGGACCTATATTGATGGATAATAAAAGACAGCAGTGATTATACATTAAGAGAGAAAAGGAGACTATAAACTATATGAACATGTATGTACCATGTGCTCTGATTTTTATAAATATGTGAAATATATTAGTATAATTACTTCAAAGAATAGACAAAATGCTATTTATGGCAGCTGTTCTGGTGATAAGGTCACTGTTGATCTTCATATAAGGAAGTACTTTGCTTCTATAATATTTTCATGGTTTTTATAATTATAATATATTTATAGTCAGAAATAAGAATAATATAATAATTTCTCTATTGAAAAGAAAAAAACATATAAGCATATCTTCTACAAATATGGAAAAAAGTCTTCTAGACTCAAAATAGGTCAGATCTATTGTTTCTTGCTTGTCTACATTCTCATAAATTATTCATGGAAATTCTGTCTATACAAATAATTATTTTTTGTTCACTATTCCTTTGCATTCCTTTTCAGACAGTGACAGATATTAATGATAGGTATTATTTCCATATTCATTTATATTACAGAGTATTCCTCATAACAGCTATTTTCTTTTTTTTAAATCATAGCTGTGTGTATTAATGCAATCATGGGGTACAATGTGTTGGTTTTATATACTATTTGAGATATTTTCATGAAACTGGTTAACATAGCCTTCACAGCATTTTATTAGTTATTGTGTTAAGACATTTATATTCTACACCTAGTAAATTTCACATGTACCCTTGTAAGATGCACCATAGGTGTGGTCCCACCAATTACTCTCCCTCCACCCATCCTCTCCCCTCCCCTCCCCCCCTTTCCTCTTCTTCTTGGGCTATAATTGGGTTATAGCTTTCATAAAAAAGCTATAAATTAGTTTCATAGTAAGGCTGAGTACATTGGATATTTTTTCTTCCATTCTTGAGATAATTTGCTAAAAAGAATATGTTCCAGCTCCATCTACGTAAACATGTAAGAGGTAAAGTCTCCATCTTTCGTTAAGGCTGCATAATATCCCATGGCATACATATACCACCATTTATTAATCCATTCATGGGTCGATGGGCACTTGGGCTTCTTCCATGACTTAGCAATTATGAATTGGGCTAAAATAAACATTCTGGTACAAATATCTTCATTATAATGTGATTTTTGGTCTTCTGGATATATACCTAGTAGAGGAATTGTAGGATCAAATGGCAGGTCTACTTTTAGTTCTCTAAGTGTTCTCCAGACATCTTTCCAAAAGGAACGTATTAGTTTGCATTCTCACCAGCAGTGTAGAAGTGTTCCCTTTTCTCCACATCCATGGCAGCATCTCTGGTTTTGGGATTTTGTGATATGGGGCTAATCTTACTGGAGTTAGATGATATCTCAAAGTAGTTTTGATTTGCATTTCTCTGATGATTGAGGATGATGAGCATTTTTCATATGTCTGTAGGCCATGCACCTGTCTTCTTCAGAGAAGTTTTTCTTCAAGTCCCTTGCCCACCCTGAGATGGGATCACTTATTCTTTTCTTGTTAATACATTTGAGTTCTTTGTGGATTCTGGTTATTAAACCTTTGTCGGAGACATAACCTGCAAATATCTTCTCCCATTCTGAGGGCTATCTGCTTACTTTACTTACCGTGTTCTTGGCTATGCAAAAGCTTTTTAGTTTGATCAGGTCCCAGTAGTGTGTTTTTGATGCTGCTTCAAATGCCCAGGGAGTCTGCCTCATAAAATATTCACCCAGACCGATTTCTTCAAGAGTTTTCCCTGCACTTTCTTCTAGTATTTTTGTAGTTTCATGTCTTAAGTTTAAATCTTTAATCCAGGGAGAGTCTGTCTTAGTTAATGGTGAGAGGTGTGGGTCCACTTTCAGTCTTCTACAGGTCACCAGCCAGTTCACCCAGCACCGTTTGTTAAATAGGGAATCTTTTCCCCACTGAATGTTTTTAATTGGCTTGTCAAAGATCAAATAATGGTAAGTAGCTGGGTTCATCTCTTGGTGGTCTATTGTGTTCCATACATCTACCTCTCTGTTTTTATGCCAGTACCATAGTGTTTTGATCACTATCGATTTATAGTATAGTCTGAGGTCTGGTAGTGTAATTCCTCCTGCTTTGTTTTTATTTCTGAGTAATGTCTTAGATATTTGAGGTTTTTTCTGATTCCATATAAAATGAAGTATTTTTTCAAGATCTTTAAAGTATGACACTGGAGCTCTAATAGGGATTGCATTAAAATTGTATATTTTTTTGGATAGTATGGACATTTTAACAATGTTGATTCTTCCCAGCCATGAGCATGGGTTGTTTTTACATTTGTCAACATCTTCAGCTATTTCTTTGCTTGGGGTTTCATAGTTCTCTTTATAGAGCTCTTTCATGTCCTTTGTCAGGTAAACTCCCAAATATTTCATCTTCTTTGGCACTACTGTGAATGGTATAGAGTCCTTGACTGTTTTTTCAGCTGGACTATTTTGGTATATATAAAGGCTACAGATTTATGAGTGTTAATTTTGTAACCTGAGATGCTGCTGTATTCCTTGATTACTTCTAAGAGTTTTGCAGTAGAATCCCTAGTGTTTTCCAGGGATATTCTTCATATCATCTGTGAAGAATAAAAGTTTGATCTCTTCTGACCCTATATGGATACCCGTAGTCTCCTTTTCTTCCCTAATTATGATGGTTAAGACTTCTATTACAATGTTCAAAAGCAGTGACAATGGGCAACCGTGCCTGGTTCCTGATTTGAGCAGAAATTATTTCAATTTAACTCCATTTAATATGATATTGGCTGTGCGTTTGTTGTAGATGGCCTCCATTAAGAAATGTCCCTTCTATACCAATTTTCTTAAGTGTTCTGAAAGGATGGCTGGATATTATCAAAAGCTTTTTCTGCATCAGTTGAGAGAATCATATGGTCTTTGTTTTTTAATTTGTTTATGTGATGAATTATATTTATAGATTTACGTATATTGAACCAGCCTTGAGACCCTGGGATAAAACCCACTTGGTCCTGGTGTATAATTTGTTTGATGTATTGCTGGATTCTGTTTGTTAGGATCTTGTTGAATATTTTTGTATCAATATTTATTAGTGATACTGGTCTATAATTTGCTTTTCTTGTTGAGTCTTTTCCTGGTTTGGGGATCAAGGTGATGTTTGCTTCATAGAATGTGTTGGGTAGTATTCCTTCTCTTTCTGTATTTTGGAAAAGGTTGAGTAGTATAGGTACTAGTTCCTCTTTAAAGGTTTGGTAGAATTCTGATATGAAGCCATCTGGCCCTGGGCTTTTCTTTTTAGTGAGATTTTGTATAGTTGATGCTATTTGAGAACTTGATATAGGCCTATTCAAAATTCCACTTCACTGTGGCTAAGTCTTGCAATGTGGCATGCTTCCAAGCCTTGGTCAATTTCCTTCAGATTTTCATATTTCTAAGGATAAAGTTTCATTCATTAAGAATTTTTTGAATTTCTGAGGAGTCTGTTGTGATTTCATTTTTACCATTTCTGATTGATGAAATTAGAGATTTTACTATTTTTTTTTTCCTGGTTAGGTTAGCCAAAGGTTTATGTATTTTATTGACCTTTTCAAAAACCAACTTTTTGATTTATTAATCTGTTGTATAATCCTTTTGTTTTCAATTTTATATAATTCTACTCTAACTTTGGTTATTTCTTTTCTTCTGCTGGGTTTAGGATTAGAATGTTCTTCGTTTTCCGGTT